TGTATTAAAAATACGATGATCAACCAGCGGCTCAAAACCGGTACGATACAAACTGTGTAAAGCTTACAGTACACATGCAGTATATCCAGTAGAAAATGTGGATGCGGAACAGTCACATGGAATATGGAAGTTCATGTACCCAACCTGTACAGAGTGCTTTCGGAACGAAAAAAAACCCCGTTCACATGCTTACCAATCGAGCATTCTTTGCCGCATTCAAATCTTGCGTAAACAATAGAACTCGTTGCATGTTCCACAAAAATGAGACCCAGTACGCCTTGGTATCATTCACGTAGAACTCCTCCACACAATCCTAGATGAGAGTAACAGAAAAGGGAAACCGAAAAGAGATATTACCGCTGATGAGTAGTAGATTTTCCAACTCAATCTGATGCGTATTCCACCACGAGTAGATAGATTCACAACAAAATTGTCTAACCAACTCGAATCTGACCTGTATTAAGCGGGATCCAGGATGCACGATCAGGTTTCCTAAGATTCGAGCAACACCCAAATTTACACAAGAATACGAAAAACAAAAAATCTCACAAAGCAAACCCCATACCCAACAATGACTGAAACCCGAAAAACCTAATGAGCTGATTCACTGGTAACATAGTTTAAAGAAAATTAGAATCCAAAATGCTATGGTCACACGCGCGCTCCCGTCTGTCTAAAAATGGTCTCCTTATGTCCTTATTGGTTCACTACGACAATCACCGTACACACGCGTACGAGAGAATCAACTTCCGGGCGATGACCAGGACGGAATACCAGGCAACGAACTCACCATGGTTAAGCGACTGGATTGAACACGATCATTTTTGTTGCAATAGAATTGCAATTCGCGATCTGAGCGAGCCGAATCCCACGCGTACATCACAGACATACCCGCCTCCAATTGATGCGTCTGATTCACACCACTGTGGGGAATGAAGAAACAATGAGATGAGATCAGTGGTGGATGGGACCGATACGAGAGAAACATGAAACGAAAGCCTAACTCACGGTGGAACATCCGTCCGTTGTGAGCACCCCGTGAGATCCGTTCATTCAGTTACGAAATGTATGCTTTAGATTCTTCAAAACAGTCACTTTCCTTTATGATCACGAGATGGCATTTTTAGGTGGGTGTGCGCCCATTTCTGCTTTGAATACAGTCTGATAACCCATATGTTCAACGTACGCAATTCAAAAAAGGCCGGGAATGCTATCAGGACTATGAAATCACAGGTTACCTAACAAGGGTTAAATAAAACCCCAAGACATTCATGCAGACACTGAAGCATGTCAACGAACTCACCGGGATGAGGTTGGATACGAGCAACCGGTCGAGTCGGTGATACAAATGAAAATAACACAGTATGAAAGCACAGATAGCAAAAAGAGCTAGCTAGGTTTAGGCGATTGATCGAACGGCTCATTGCAGTTACGGAAAACGAGAGTAGGAGGAAAACATGAGATCACAAGTGAGATACCCATCCCCAAGGGCGATGAACGTATTCCTTCTACAGAAACCCGTACACTTTGACTGAAGTATTGAAGCAGACCTCCGATGAACGAGGACCGGATAGAAAGGATTGGTACCGCCACTGTGCTCTCCCTCTCGCGAGTGACTACATCTGAGGGTCACCATTCCCGCATGAATTTTCAAGCCAAACGGGTCTGAATCAAGTGGACCGGGATGGATGGATGTATGGCCATGTGGCTGTTTTGTCCCGTTAAGCAAATCACTAAGCATGAAATGAATCAAGGGGTGATGCTGGCACAGTAGTTTAGTCACTCTCACTGGCGTGCTTTGGATCTTGTGGGGGTAGACAGCTTTGCTGTCGTCCGGTTCAATACCACGCCTAACGTAGCGGAGCCTTATGTGGTTCGCCACTCCAAGTTCCGAGGCTTCGGTTACCGGTTTCCATGACGGAGCAGCAGGTCATCGTGACTATGGGGTTCGCCCCGTCTGCTGTTCACTACACAAATGTGTGTAAGAATGAAAAAAGCAATGCGTCTATTTGCAGTGACGTCAAGGTGGGCAGTCAGCGAACCAACCAATGCGGCCAGAACATTACTGGCATGCGATTCGCTGAGGCGAATCGAGTACGTCCGCATGATGTTCATGCTTGTGATGGTAGGCCGCATCAGCCAGTCAATTAGGCTAAGCGCATTCAAATGTTTCGGTAGACCGCCGGCTAAATGGGAAACCGAGGAGGAAGGACTATGATCGTGAAATCGGAGTACACCGGATCGTTGGGCACCGCTTGACGCAAGGATTGAATGGCTTACCGTTGTTGGAAATGAATAGGCTGGCAGTCTCCAAGATGGTTGACCAAACGCACCAATGCCATACCCTGTTGGTACATTTGCAAAATAATGACTGTCGCCTCTTCCGTTGTTTCCACTTCGACAAACACACCGATGTACTGTTGTGAGACAAGGGAAAAAACAGTGAGGTAAGTGGAGTAGAATGGAGAAAAATGAGAAATCGTTCCACATTATTTCTAAAACAAAAACACCCGCTTACTTTGCCGGGCAGCTTCATTAGAATGGAATGCGATTCGTAGTACGGGAAAACGTCAGTGACTACGTGCTCGTTCACCCGACAACGAAGCAGCATCTTTTTGGAATTGTTCGCCTGAGGCCAGAAGGGCACAGCCTCGCCGGCCGGGACACGAATCCACTCGTTCGACAGTTTTCCCATTGTCGGTGAGCGAGATTGATCTTCGGGTAGTGCAGCTTCGCTGCATTCTAAATCGATCTGTTTGACATTGTGAACGGACATGATGAGAGCGAGAGAGAAAGGAATGTGAGACAAGCCTGAGCAATGAATATGTTCAACACTGCTACATTAATGAAAGAAATGTAAAAATATGCATGAGGTTAGACGACAAGATGGCTGGACAGCACTAAAGAAAAGGTTATTGAAGTGAATATAGTACAACGGACAACATACAGTGCAACTAATAGCTTTCAGTAATATGGGTGATACGTGTACTCACATTCGCCTTGTTCACAATCATGAAGTAAGGCATCAAAGTGACAATCTTGGTCAAACCGGAACTGGACAGATCAATTTTGACGCCAATCTGCAATAAAAACAGAAGAGAAAATAGATAGTGCAGGGTCAGATGAAGGTCACACTAAATGGAGAGAGGAAGGGGGCGGGGGGAGGCGAAACAAAAGCAGGCGAATCGGGGATATACAGAATCAGCTGTTACTAAGATAATTCAAGATGTGATTCCGGAGTACATAAATATATCGGCCCGTAGGCACTGAACTATCTACGGATAACACAGCTGAGTGCTACCGAGCACATCTCCAGGTCGCGGATAGGAGAACGGCCACCTTGGTGGATGACCGTGAATAGGTGGGGTTTCCTCACTGAATAATCGGTCGCGGACGATCAGCAACGATGCTAGAGGAAGTGGTGGGGTTTCGGCTGGCAACCGATATCCCGTTCAAATGCCATAAGTGTCTGCTGACAGCATCGTGACGTGTGCGAATGTGGCCAGCCGCCAAATAAGGCCGTTGCTACTTGCCTACTCTTACGAGTAGGAAAAACTAAGAAATAATACCTCACGGACACGTTGGCAATCCTGGACTGGCACAGAGCCATCTGAAAGGCGTATGAACCGTTCTAACGGTCACTCGCTACCAACAATTCTACGCTGTTACCCTGCAGGTCGCACTTGGTTGTGCAAGGATTAGAGGTGCACCCTCGAACAAAAGCCNCCGAGCGACGCTGGGGACGTCACTTAGTACCTCATTCCCAAGTTTCTTCATGGATCGTCTTACAATGGTTTATCACGTTCATGCTACGGTGTTCCCGGGAAGCGACACACCCTGCGCTCTCCCGGTGGCTGGGGTGACAAATCAGCAAGCTGGGAACCTAAATAATCTATGCACTAGATCCAGCATCCATGCAGCCTGCTGGAATGTTAGGACATTGCTAGACACAGGAAGCCAGTTTATAACAATGCACTGCAGGACTACAAGGTAGACATCTGTTGTCTGTCCGAAGTCCGACTACCTAACTGAGGCACAAAACTAACCAACGTACCACATAGCAACGCAACCTACCGGTTATACCACAGCGGCCCAACTGACAACTCCGGTTTGTACGGGGTAGCAATCGCCGTGAGCGGCCGGGCTAACAATGCCATGATCTCCTGAGAACCAATCTCTCCCAGGATTGCCATAGCACGCTTCCAAGGAAAGCCGTTTAACCTGACAGTCATCACTGTATATGCTCCAACGTTACATGCGGAAGAGCCCATCAAAGACGACTTCTACAACCAAGTTCAAGACGCAGTAGTCTGAGGCGCGACATCCTCTTCATCGCAGGAGACTGGAACGCACGCACTGATCCATCAGACGAACATACTCAGCATGTTCTGGGAAAGTTCTGCCTTGGTTAACGTTGCGAAAATGGCGAACGCGTAGTCACATTTGCTGACCTTAACCGGCTGGTCGTGGCCAACACTCGTTTTCAGCACCCCAGAAAACACTTGCTCACGTGTTACTCAAATGATGGTCGAACGCACACCAGATTGATTGTATTTTAGTACGTGCTCGCTGGGCCTCTTCGGTAAAAGACTGCCGTTCATAGCGCGGCGCAGAAATTGGAAACAAGAATGGTACAGACCATACCCTTGTACGCGCCCGCTTTAAGATGCATCTGACTACTCATCTCCCGGGAAAATTCAACGTGGTGCTCCTGGAACGATCTGAGAGAAGACAGGCGCTGCTGGACGCAACCGCTTCAAACGTAGCCAAAACTTTCTTTGATGACTTAACTGTCGACGCACAGTGGTTTAAACTGAAAACGTCCATCAGAGAAGCGGCGCTGGGGCAGTTATGTGAGATTCTTCGCCACAAGAGAGACTGGACCTCCGAGCGTACACTGCAGTTGTCCGCAAAGGCAAGAGATGCGCGGCTGATCAATTCCCCATCACCAAGCCACACGCTCCGCCATTAGCGACCGTAGACAACACTGGAAGGAGATTGCAGACAGCATGGAGCCTGCAATTGTTGCAGCGGACTTTAGAAAGCTATTCCGTCTAATTCTTGTCGCAAAAGGAAATAGGCAGACATCGGAACCACTGTTGCGCAGTACCACAGACCAACTTATTCAGGGAACCGAGCAAAAAATGCCAAGGTGGGTTGAACACTTCGACGGGCTGCTCAACCGACCATCAAACCAAGTTGGCTCTCTACAGCTGTCAAGCAGTTTGGAGGCTTACAACATTAATTGCGACCCACCTAGCACGACAGAAATCATCAATGCAGTCACTTCTCTGAAAAACAGGAAGGCCTCTGGAGAAGATGGGATACCACCTGAGTTATTCAAAGCTTGCTTACCAACTCTGATCGATCCGCTGCACTCTCTTTTCCATACCATTTGGGAAAGAGAAGTTCTTCCAACTGACTGGACGGCTTCAATTTTAGTCTCGGTTCCAAAAAAGGTGACAGATCTAGATGTGAAAATTACAGGGGTATTAGTCTGATTGACATTGCAGCCAAATTGTTTGCAGTGATACTGCTTCATCGCTTCGCAGTCGTCAGGGATACCCACACTCGCCTGAACCAAGGAGGGTTTCGCCGTGAGAGAGGCTGTGTTGAACAAATCTTCACTCTCCGTAGAATTCTGGAACACCGCTACAAGTTCCAACAGCCTATCACTGCATGTTTCATTCACTTCCGCGCTGCGTTTGACTCTATCGATAGAGAATCCTTGTGGTGCATATTGCGGTCCGATTGGATGCCTGAGAAGTTCATCAGGCTTTTAAAGTTATGCTACTCAGGAACCCGGGCACGCGCCCGTACTTATGGAGAAGAATCGGCTGAGTTTACCCCAAGCTCTGGAATTAGGCAAGGTTGTCCCCTATCGCCAGTGTTATTTAATTACACAGTAGATTGGATAATGTGACAAGCGCTCATCGACTACCCTGGGGTGCAGCTTGGCTCAGATACATGGATTGCGGACCTCGAGTTTGCGGATGATGTCGTTGTACTTGGAGACAGCATGGACGACCTCCTACCTGTTGTCAGTTGTATAAATCAGTTGACCCAGTCCATTGGGCTAGAGATGAATATGTCGAGAACGAAGATATTTTCGGCCGAAACTTCTGCCATGACATAACCCCTCTCGATTAACGGGGAGCCTGTCGGATCAACCGAAGTTTTCAAGTATCTTGGCTCTACGATAAGACCAAACGGTCGGGCTAAGGATGAAATCCAACTCCATGTACATGGAGCTAGAAGAGCCTTCCTGTAATTCCTCAAACTGTTGTGAAGTCGATGCGAATTAAGCTTAAACAATGAGCTTCGGGCTTATCAGGCTCCCATCCGCCCTATCCTCACTTATGGTTGTGAAACCTGGACGCTAAGAGTACAAAATACAAGGAAGCTCGAAGTCTTTGATCATTGGTGCCTACCCCATATCTTGAAAGCAAACTGGAGAGATCAGATTTTTATTGATGGGGTTCGACGGCTTTGTTCGATCATTGACAAGCTTTCAAAAATGCTACAACGCCGGCACCTTCAGTAGTTTGGCCATGTACTCCGAAGGCCCGACACTCAGCTCTCGCGACAGTGTCCCCGCACCGTGCCGTGGATGGCGTTGCCGACTCGGTGGTCAACACAATCAAGGCGGTTTTGGAATTACTGGGTCTTTAATCCGCATAGGGAATTCGCAACTGGAACCAGAACTGGGTTTCTCACTGAGTCCACCTTGCTACCGATCATCATGCATGGGCCGCCATCATTCGAGACATCTAGAAAGCCGACTTATCCTCTCGCAGGAGTTGGTCGATCACAAGTAAAAGTATATATATGTCAAGTTCAGTTCAGTTCTTACAACCATTAACCATGCACTTTCATGCTCCCATATTGGTTGCCCATTTAGATAAGACAGCAGAATGACGATTAGAATGTTGAGAGCAGATTCAAGCAGAAGATAGCGCATTGACATAGAAAGAAGATACAAGGATAATGAGCGCCACTGTTTGCGACACCCAGCCACA